CGCTGTGTGCGGACAGCGCGGCCACGGCCGACCCTTGCCAGCCGTCCGACAATTACTCCCGTGCACTCTGACCTCAATACACATAATCTGACTCTACATGAACATAATCGCTGAAATCACTTGAAAATATATTTTTTAGCACAATCAACTGAATGGGCCGTGGCGAGCGCGCCGTGCGCCGCCGACGGTGATAAGCCGTCTCTCGACCAAATCATCTTTTCCCTCGGCAACTCCAGACCAATTAAACATGAAACATTATTATGAGGCTATCAAGACATAAATCACACGGAAGAACTTAACCATAACTGAAAGTAACATAACATGACATGGAATAGCCCGTGGCCATGCGCGATGTGCGCTGCCGACGGCTGTGAGCCAATTCATGAATAAAACAGTATTTTGTCTCAACCATCATCAAGTAACTGAGTACAAAATGAGGTAAACTGATCAATTAAACATAAATGGTTCATGAGTTGCCGGGCAAAACGAGAAGTTACTCGATCAAAACTTAACTAAGCATAATCGAACCTTAACATGGCATAACTATGAACTCTTGAACATGATTCGAACATTACTACCTAAAATGAACTTATTGTCATGAAAAAGGGTTGAGGATGGCTATACCTCCTCCAGTGCTCGTCGGAATATCGCAACCTGACCGTTACCTCGCGTGTGTGTGTCGTGTGCGATAGCTTGTCGTGCGATGCTACTTGTCGTGAGGGTATGGAAGAATTAAGGTAATTTGCTTGGCTAACTATTTGCTGAACTTGTATAATTTAAAGAGAAATATGGGCTGAAATCGTAATGGAATATATGGCTTAAGAGGTGGGAAAATTTTTGGACCAAACACCCTTATATATACTAACCGAAAGGAGCTACTAATTTGGGTGATGATGGTTCCAAGACGTGGCCATTCCTCAAGCTTGACATTTGCTTCAACAATAGGATAGCTTATGATGACTAATCATCCCATTAAGCTTCTTAATATGACACGTTTAATTGCTAGCATTGGAAGGAAAAATACTTCCTTCATGCTAAGGAATGCACACGGCATTTTGGATAAATAATAAGAAATTGTACGGCTTTTTCAAGCTTATTGGGAAAATTCCATACGGTTTAACCTATTAAGTCATGATTAATTTTTAATTAATCACTTAATTATGCTTTATTAATGTTTAAGCATAATACTTAATTACCAAAATTATTTCGAACGTAAACGGTACATCGAAAATAAATTTCGGTAATCTCGACTGAAAATAATTAATTCCGAAAATAGTAATTGATAACATTATTAAATCGGAACTAAAACATAATTTATACTGATAAAATATCGGGATATTACAGTGAGTTTCGAACTCAGGACCAAACACACAAAAATGCACATAGAGACCACTGCACTATATGACTTGATGTAAATTGGTCTGAAAAGAAGGGAGAACACAACATACTGTACAGAAACTTTCGGCTAGAGTTTTTTTTTTAAAAAAAAAAAACGAGATAAGGTTTCAGGTGACGCGAATGAAGATCGAATGATTTGTTGTTGAACCATTCTTCCTCGGTCGATTTAAAAGGCACGCTATGAGAGAACGTGTGAGGATAATACGTGAAAATCGCAACCAGGTATCTGATACGGACGACTCGGTGCGAAGAAGACAGAGAGAAAAATTGAGCGATAGAACTCTCTTGGGGCGAGCCCCAAATAATTCGAAAGGGCCACTAAAATAATGACATTTGGGCCAAGTAACAACAAGGAATTTGGGCCAATCATAATTCAAATCATTATGGCTAAAAAAATACAACTCATTTGGGCTAGTTGAGCTTACGATATGGGTTGGGAAAACAAAAGAAGAATGGCCCGAAAGTTGATTTAACTAGCTGAAATTAAATAGCACAAATGCTAGAATTAAATTCCAATTGGTCCGATAATTAAAATCGAGGAATATAGAACGGCTCACCGATTGACGACGAATTATTAATAGAATATTAAGACACATTAAATTGACTAGACATGAACATCCAATTAATTAATATAAGTCTACACGAGAATTGCATTAATACAATATAGAAAATTAAATCAAATAATGCCAAAATATTGTTTGAAAAATCCAATATTTGAACGGGGTGCTATAGTCTACCCACCTTAAAAGGAATTCCATCCTCGGAATTCGAAAAAAAAAAAACAACTAGAACACAATATAATACAAAAAACATGAAATTCGGTACTCCCTTCGAATCTCGGTCTCCCTCTTCTAAGTCGTCTCACCCTCGCCTTGACTTCCGGCCTTTCCCTGATGGACCCTCCCAATAGGTCACCGGTACCTCCATACAGGTAGGGTTATGCCTATCACGCAGTTCGTCACAATATCTCGAGGTCACGCACACGCTCCCTCCATCACGAGCCATAGAACGTGTCATGCATCCTCGCAAACTCCAGTGGTGGAGCCAATCTTCAGGCTAAGTCATCGACTTGGTCGAGAGTCATAATAAAACCTGGCTGTAGCCTATTCTATTTTTTCGGAAACAAGGTGAATAACACCTCCACCCGAGCTAATACTTCGAATGGTACCATCGGGGTCGTCGCTTGGTCATCATATTCAAAAGCGTACCTTATCCTGGTAAGGGATTCTCACACAATACTCGACATTCCCTATTTGGTACTTCCGAACACGCCGGCTCTATTAGATATCGATGCAAACCGCACCTCTTGCTGACATGAACAATATCTCGAATCAGCAATCCTTCTTGAGAAAGCTATACAGACTAGCTCGTCTTGACTCTTTCGACCATAAGTGTTGGCCACTTCATTAATTCTCCATACATGACTTAGGTCATTGCAATACACGTGAAAAATTCCCAGAATCGATACGCACTAACATGCTAGAGACTTGGCAGCTGTGACATGAATGGCTGGCCTGACATGCGGCAACACGACACGCTACATGCAGCACACTATGCACGCACTTCTTACGTCTCGAGATGCATCACTGAGCGTTGCACGCCTGTGCGCGGCACCAGCACGCAGTACACCTGCACCACCCGCAGCCAGTAGCTATGGTTGATTCCTCATCAACTGTTACATCTTCTCGTGTTGATACGTACACGAAGATCAGAAATCCACTGGTGTTTTGCGACCCTAATCCAAACTACAAAATCCAAGCATTCCAATATCAATTTCAGGGTACTTGTGCTTCATCATGAGTCAATTGGCTGATTACTCACGATGTTTCTCACAACTCCTTGTACTTCATGTCTTCTATCTCTTGAGACGTCTGAGAAGACATCTTCTTGGATAGAGTTATTCCATGTATGAAAGGTAACATACCTTTCTTGGTATCCTGCATGCTGACTCTAGCCAAGACAATATATATGTATGAAGACTGAGATAAGCACAACATTCTCTTTTTACGGTCTCGAATGACCATAGTACCAAGATTGTGTCCTGCTTCACCAAAGTCCTTCATACCAAACTGCTTAGACAAGCATACCTTTACGTCCGTAACTCAATCTTAATGTTTCCAATAAGAAGTATGTCATCTACAAAGCACAAAAAAACACCACCACGCTCCCACTGATTTTTCTTGTACACACAGTGCTCATCCAGACATTGAGTTAACCCCGCACGACTGGATCACTTCATCGACCGGATGTTCCAAGATCTCGAAGCTTGCTTCAATTCATAGATAGATCGATTAAGCTTACACAATAGATGCTCATGTCCCTTAGCAATAAATCTCTCTGGTTGCTGCTTATAGATGTCCTCCTGAAGGTTTCCGTTAGGGAAAGCCGTTTTGACAACCATTTGCCAGACCTCATAATCCATATGAGCGGCTACAACCAAGAGAATCCGAATGGACTTGAGCATAGCTACTGGCGAAAAGGTCTCATCATAATCTATACCCTCTATCTGGGTATAACCTTTCGCAACAAACCTAGCTTTGAATGTTTGCACCTTTCCATCTGATTCTCTATTCTCTTATAGATCTAATTGCATCCAAGGGGTCGTACCCTATCGAGTGGTTCTACATGATCCCATATGTGATTAGAGTCCATTGACCCCATTTCAGCTTTCATTGCAACATTCCATGAATCTGCATCTTTATCTTGAAGTGCCTCGCTGTAGGTCCTTGGGTCCAATTCTAGGTTTCCTGGAACTGAGTCCAATGACTCTCCAAGACCTATCCATCGGTCATGTAAATGAAAAATCCTCCCATTACAACAAGGTACTGTCTGCACTGTTACACTCCCAGTGTGTCGTGTTGCAGTATTATGTGATGTATCTACTTGTGCACTCGGTGGGAAACTATCGACATCACTTCTCAACTCTTCTAATACTATTCTACTGGCGGGCTTGTGGTTCATAATATAGTCTTCTTCTAAGAATCTAGCGTTTGCGAACGTTTATCCAACTTACCAGCTGCCTACACTAACACGTGTGCAGGGCTAACCTATACTCGAAAATGTGAGAACCTGGGCTTGCACCCTTTTCACATCTCATAAGGAGTACTTTCAACTGACTTTAAAGGAACCATGTTCACGATATACGATGTTGTTTCCAACGTCATACCCAAAAACGAATTTGGTAACTTTGAATAACTCCATCGACCTACCCTTCTTCATAAGAGTCATATTTATTCGCTCTACAACCCCGTACTTCTGGGGCGTGCCAAGTGCAGTCAATTGAAATTCAATCCCAGCTTCCGATAATTATGTCCTGAACTCTATAAAGAAGTATTCTCCACCTCGATTAGATCGAAGCTACTTGATACTTTACCATAAAGCTTCTCCACAACTGCCCGATACTCCATGAATTAAATGTACCCAAATCATGCGGACTTGCAGTGCAACAGGTAAATGTACCCAAATCTCGAGTAATCATCAATGAAATAGACAAAATACTCGAAACCACCCCTAGCTTGGATCGATATAGGACTACACATTTCATAATGAATCATTCCTAGCACTTCTTGGCTCCTATACCCCTTTGCCGTAAACGGCCACTTGGCCAACTTACCTTCAAGGCACGATTCGCAAGATGAATAATGATCTTCTAATAGACCGAGATGTCCACTAAATACCAAATTTATCCTTCTAAGGTTGATGTGCCTAAGTCTAAGGTTCCAGAGATATGTTTGACTCATCCGCGAAGACTCCTGTAACGCCCGATTAGTTAATAAAACGAATTCGTTTCACTTGCTCGACTTTGAAGTAAAATCGGTATTATTCAAACTTTTTTGAGTTGTTCCACTAAGTGTTATTATATGAATTATGTGATTATATGTACTGGTTTGCCTTAATATTTTCATGTATGATATTTATTTTATTATGTTTGACATTTTCGTTCGCGCCGAATCGCCGAGAACTTGTGGCAAACGCGTCGAACCCGAGCCTAGTGCCGAGCCATGGCTCATTGTGGCCCTTTTTCCTTTCACGTTCAAGATCATGCATGTATATTAGAGGGTTATTATATATTTTTAAGTTCAAGTCATCCATCATTAGCAATATTTTATGCTAAGCTAGCATGTGCATTGAGTTTAATATTGAAAGGTGTAAAAGACCATGTTACTTCTCCACCTTAAGTACTTGACCAGACCTCCTTATTCACCAAAGATGCTCTGAAAAATCATGCATTCCCACCCAATATTCCATCCAAAATCGTGCCCAGACCATGCCCCAAAGATCAATGCACATAGGAAAGGGTAGTCACCACATTTGTCTACCATTTTCCCTCCTAAGTATTAACGCCCTTAGACCAGCTTTTAAGAATTCACTTCAGATTCTTAGAGACCTCATTTATTACTTATAAACTCAGAAAATTTCGAGCATAATCCCCTCCAAAAGTGGCAAAAACCGAGAGCTAAAAGAAGATGCCGAGAGTGAACCTTGTGCTACCCGAGTGCTTTGTTGTTGAGTGTTCTTGAGTTCTAGCTAATATTTTCGAGAACTCCAACTATATATTCATCCTCCACCATCCTAATCTCATCTTAGAAGCATTTAGTACTAGCAAACTCAAGAATTCAAGTCCAAGGAAGCAAGAAGTCGTAACTATACGAGGACCGAGCAAGAGCGAGTATACCCGAGTTCCTTTGCATTTTTCTTGAAGTTTTAGAGGTTGGTTTACAAATTTCTTTTCAGTACTTGTTATTATTGATATATGGATGAGAATGGTGTGTTTTAATGCTCCATAGGTTCAATTTTTAAGTGGTTTCAAGCATGCTTAATGTATAAGTGCTCCCAGCTTTCTTGCATGTTCAATATGTTGTGTTTTCATGCAGTTTTGACTATGCTATACAAAATTAGTATTGTGATAATTTTATGGCTTTTTCTTGTGGAAAATTAGAGTTCATAGGATTAAGAATCAAGTCAATTAGCCTAGTATAACTCGAGTTATTGGTTTCTATAGTTAGGCATGCAAGTTGAACTTTACATGCACGAATTCAGCTGCGACTTCAAACTCGAATAACTCGAGTTCTACTTAGGATAAAATTATGAAATTTCATGGACATGTTTATATATGCGTTAAGAGGCTGCATACCAATTTTTATGATTTTATCTTAATAATTGAGTGAGTTATAAATTTTACAAATAGATGGTACAAGCAGTTTTTTTGTGAACCCGGCAGCATAATATATTAAATGTATGACCTTTTTATCATGTATTAATGTGCTCAAACGTAAAAATGATCTGCATTAAATTTATAGGTCTATTTCTTAGCTTTCTAATAAGGTAGGGTGCATGCTGATATGAGGTCTATAGTGTGAATTAGAGTCTAAATACTTGAGGTGCTGCTCTAACATAAATTTGTTTCTGACAGATTTCATGAACCAAATATTTTATGTTTAAACTCATTGAGAGCATTGTTATTTGCCAATGTGATCTTAAGAAAAGTTGTAAATATTTGAGTTAGCTTCTAAGTGATTTTTGAATCTCATTAAAAGCATGTTTGTAGCTTCATTTATCCTACAATTACTGAATTTCTGTCAGCTGTATGATTTCCATTGTGGACTGCAACTCGGTTATGAATATTTGCTGAATTATCTCCTGCTAAATGACCTTATTTGTTTTTTATGTCTTCATAAGAATTGTAGATACATGTCTTAGGGTTAAAATTCAACTGGAATTATGAATATATAACACGTGTGCTGTAAGTTATGTTGATTTTAAAGTCACTACGATGGTTAGGCATTGAAAGCTCTTATTTTATCTTCGGAAATAGAGTTTACTTATAAAACGCGTGCTTATATAGCCTGTATGAGCTGAGTTAGATCAAGTGAACGTTTCTTATATGTTTATATAGCTTATGGAGAGTCGAGCCTCTGACAGCTACTTCAGTTTCAAGCACTTGCAACAGACATTTTCAGTATACCAAGTGGGGGTCATGTACTGGGTTCCACATCATCAATAATTACTTTACCATGTCTAAGGTATGTTCGAGATAGTATGATCTCCCAGGTGAGAGGCCAAAGCAAGGGCCTTCCTATTCCATCTGGTACCCGATAAGGGCCAACCTAAGGGCCTTCAGTTTTATCGGGTGGTGTGCACACGAGCGACCGAAGTAAGGGCCGATAAGGGACTTTGAGACCACAGATACAAGAACAAGTTTTCAGTTTCAGCTCTTATATATTTTAGTCATGACATGTTATTGTCGATGATGTCTTATTCAGTACTGGTCTTAACGGAGCATAGTGGTTTGCTCACGCCCCCATTGTATTTTTCAGGTGACAGAGTCGAGCGTGTCGGGTGAGCTGAGCAGATGTGGCGAATGTGGTCATGAGTACGGGGACATTTTTATAAACGCATTTTATGTCCTTAATTCATGAACCAATTTTATCATGTATGCGTGTAATAAGTATGTTTCCTAGACTTATGCTTCAGCTTAATTAGACAGTGCGAGACATCATACTGCATGTATGGCTTCCATTATCTCCGTAGCGGATTGATTGGGTTGCATGTTAATTTATGCATGTATAAGTAGGATAAGCAAGTTTCATCTGTAGCATTCCGCAACAAGTTAGTATTTTCAAAAACCAGCTCGCACGATCTTCGAAAATAAAAGAAAAAAAAATTACTCTGATTTTTTTTTTCAAAGCTAGTTGAGGAGGGGTGTTACAGCATTGGTATCTGAGCACTTAGTGTTCTGGATACCTTTAAAAGTTTTAAGAAAAGCATGACCACGCCACGCTCACTCCACGCCACTCTAAGGTAAGTCACCCAAGTCAAGTTTAAGTTTCGCAAGTGCTAAATTCAGTTCAAGTATGGGGCCTAGATGACTATCCTCCTGTTAGACAGATAACTCTAGGGACAGAACTCTAGACAGAACTCTAGAACAGTTACGTCCAAGGATTCTAGACTAAGTCAGAACTCCATTTTGAGCCAGAACATAGAAAGTTTAAGTATACCGGAACTCTAGCCAAGCTAGGTGTTTTTGGATTTTATGGTTTATTTTTTTATTTCAAGTCTAGTATGGTTATTTGTTAATTGGCTATACTGATCTAATCAAAGATTAGTGGCTATCCAGATTGCCGTCCCTTAGAGCTCCGACTCTACCCGTCGAGCGGGGACATGCTATAGTCGTGGGCCAATTCTAGGGATTGGTGGAGCGACTACTATTGCATGATGTCGGAGGATGAGTATGATGAGTTAACGTGGGACTGGTACAGAGAGATTCTGGAAGCCAAGTTCCAATCACGCCTTATTCGCGGGAAGATAGAGCAAGAATCTTGTGTCTTTCTGCCTGAGGCCAATCGGTAGAGGGGTAAGAGCACAAATTCGCTAATATGAACGCATTGCTCATCACCTCATAGACACCGAGAAGAAATAAGCATTCTATTTTGTAGACATGCCCACAACGCATGATTTCAGGACGATTTTCCTAAACAACTTCTGGGAGGACCACCTAACCGCTAGGTGGAGTTCACAATCGACTTAGTCCCGGAAGCGGGACCAGTGTTGAAAGCACCGTATAGCATGTCGCCGAAAGAGATTCAGGAGTTGGAGGCTCAGATTCAGGATCTATTGAGTCTCGGTTTCATCCGACCGAGTGTTTCACCTTGGGGAGCACCTGTCTTATTTGTCAAAAAGAATGATGGGTCTATGCGTATGTGCATCGACTATCGGGAATTGAACTGGTTGACGGTGAAGAACAAGTATCTGCTTCCCAGGATAGAGGACTTATTCGATCAACTGAGGGTAGCCAGCGTATTTTCCAAGATAGATCTGCGTTCTGGTTGCCATTAGCTGAAGATCAGGGAGGCCGACGTGGCCAAGACATCTTTCAGAATGAGATACGGTCATTATGAGTTC